CCTCCATAGGGGAAGGAAATTCTTACTATTTTAAGGTAGATTCTGAGTCCAGAAGACAGTCTGGGTTCAAATCTTGCCTCTCTGCTGAATTCTCACTTGTCCCTAGGCCCGTTACTGGACCTCCGAGTTCTGGCTGCTTGGGGGAGGTCCATTCCCCACCTCCCTGAGGTCAGGGTGGGTAGTAGAGGTCCTTGGTGAGGGTGGAGCAGTGATTGTTTTTCTGCTGGACCCAAGGCATCCTTCCAGAAAGACGTTTCTGCTGTGAGGGGAGAGGGAGCTCAGGCCAGTCCCCTCGTGCTCAGCTCCCTCTGTTTCTAATGCCCACTGGGCAGGCTGCAGACAGTGCTGGTGTCAGGACCTCCTGCTCCAAAGGGAGGCATTTCCATGGCTACAGCCTCACTTTTGGGGTCCTAACCTCTCCCTTCTCTCCCTGCGGTCCACTGGGGAAGCCTCTGCAGCATCCGGCGGGTGTCGTTGGCTGAGGACGAACAGCAGACAGCCCAGCAAAGCCTCTCTCAAGTCCTGGGAGCCCAGGCGCCGTGCCAGTCGGCGCAGCAAGGGGACGAGGTACTGGCGGGCCAGGCGGGCAGCGGGCAGCAGCAGGCGGGCCGACAGCATCCGCAGCAGCAGTGGGAACAGGGGAGCCGGCATGGCAGAGTCAGTGCCTGCAAAAGCAATCAGGTTGGACCTCCTATTCCCACCTCTCCTGACCTCACCCTGACCTCAGGAGTTCCCACTCTCTGGGCCTCAGTTCATGGGTCATTTTTGCTGTCATGAAGCCCTTCTCTTGGCAAGGTAGCTGAGGCAAGGGTGTTCTCACATAGCACAGATGGGGAAACTGAGCCGAGGCAAGGGGAAAGGGGGAACTGGGACCTGTGGCATGCTATTCCCAGCCTCCAGGGGCTCCTACAGTTCTCCGGGCACCCCTTCCTTTAAATCATCCCCTCTTGTCCACCCACCATCCCCCCTGCCATTCCCAGCCCTTCTCCCATAATCCAGCAGGAGCGCTTTACAGGCAGTTCTCGTGTTTTCTTTGGGGGGTTCTGGATCTAGACTGACTCTTCCTGCCCACCCAGGTCCCTGCACCCACCGATCCACGGCAGCTCTCACCAGTCAAACTACTGCTCAGAATCAGCCTCTGGCCCAATTTGCCAGCAGTGAGAGAGCCTCACTGGGTACAGTACTGGCAGCCCCTCCCAGCGCAGCTCCACCCTTCACACTTGCCTGGGGGGGGGACAATGGCCAGACAGCTGTGTTCTGGCAGCTGGTGCATTGAGAGGAGGGGGCAGCGGGGCTGGCTCCTTTTCCAGCCTGGGAGGGAATCCTTGCTGTATACAGTCCTCAGGGCAGGAACACAGGCTGTACTTTTTTATTTATTTATTTATTTTGTATTTTGTCGTAGGGCGTATGTGCTCTCCAGAGAGAGGGAAAGTGAGACATCACCCCCCAGGAGGGATGACCACACCATAATCCCTTCTCAATTCTCCTCTCAGGATTTTGGGGACCCAGGTACTCGGCTTGATTTTCAAGCCACCAGGTACAGAATTTGAACTGCAGTTCGCCATGTGAGAATCCAGTGCCTTAACTACCATGCCACCAACTGGCTCCAGACTGTACTTTTTTTTTTTTTTGAGAGAGATTTTTGCTATAGGGTGCATGTGCTCGCCAGAGAGACACAAAGGGAGAAATCCCCCCCCAGGGGGGATGGCCATGCCACAATCCCTTCTCCTCCATTCTCCTCTGGGGATCTTCGGCACGCACGCACACGCGCCTGGCATGAATTTAAGCCACTGGGTCCGGGACTTGAACCACAGTCAACTACATGGGAGTCCAGTGCATAGCCATTACACCAACTGCTGGTCCCCATCCCAGACTGTGCTTTCTAATTGTGTGACTGGAAACCTGTTTAACTCTTCTGTCACCTCAGTAACTGGAAAGGGACAGTGTATTAGACTCATTTGCCTAAACTTCAGAAGCAGAAAGGCCACAGTCAGACACGCATCTGAACACTAGGCACTCTCAGCGTGGCCAAGACAGGGAGACTAGGACGCAGCCATGCACTTGGGGCCATCTCTTGGGGCAGAAGAGTAGAGGCACAGTCCAGCTCATATTGGGGCACAGCTGGACACAGCAGGATGGCAATCCTACCCAGGGACAGGAGGAGGGATGCCCATTCCAGGACTTTTCTTCCTCCACTTTTTATCCTCCTTCAGATTAAATCAGGCCTCATAAAGCAGCCAGTTAAATTTTTTCTCTTTATTTTTTTCAGAGAGATTTTTGCCTGCGTGTGTGTGCTTGCTGGAGAGACAGAGACAAAGAGACAGAAAGCAAGAAATTACCCCCTAGGGGGAACAACTACACTGAATCCCTTCTGCTCCATTCTCCTCTCAGGATTTTGAGCATGCACACACACACACACATGCCCAGTGTGAGCTTCAAGCTGCCAGGTCCAGGATTCAAACCACGATTGACTACGTGGGAGTCCAGCAATGTAACCACTACACCACCTGCTGGTCCCAACCAGCTATATTTCAAAGGGTTTATAGCCTAGGTTCTATTTTTTTTTTCTTTTGCGTTTTAAATTTATTTCTTGAGAGAGAGGAACAGCATCCTCAATAGGATCCTGATACTGTGATGTACCCCTAGCCCCACCTTCCAGGGAAGTTTCTGGATGCAAATGCAGAACCTTCTCCTGTGGATCAACCTTGCAGATCAGTGTGTTTTACCCCCGTGCCACTGCCCAGCCCTCCAGCCTGGGTTTTATCTTACTTTCTTATTTATTGAGTTATCAGAAAAGTCATGATGCATTTTGCATAGAAAAACAGGAAAATACATCATGACTTTTCTGACAACCTAATATTTACTTATTTTTTTGTTTTCTGCTACAGTGTGCGTGAGCTCAACAGATGGGGGGAGAGAGAGAGAGAGAGAGAGAGAGAGGGAAAGTGAGAAATCACCTCCCAGAAGGGACGGGCATGCTGCACTCCCTTCTTCTCCATTCTCGTCTCATCTCAGAATTTTGGGCACATATGTATATGCGCCTGGTGTGATTTTCAAGCCACTGGGTCTGGGACTTGAACTATAGTTGGACATGTGGGAGTCCAGCACCTTAACCACCACACCACCTGCTGGCCCCTACCTATTTATTTTTTAATACTTAATGGTTACAATGCTGGACTCTCACATTGCTAGCAGCAGTTTAAGTCCCAGGCCCGGAGTCTTGAAACTCGCTCTGGGTGCATGTGCATGCATGCCCCAAATTCTGAGAGGACAACGGGAGGAGAAGGGATTGTGGTGTGGCTGTCCTTCTAGGGGTGATCTCTGTCTTTCTGTCTCTCTGTGTCTCTCCTGCAAGCACACACACCCTATAGCAAAAATCTTTCTAAAAATAAAAAGCAAACTCTCTAAAAAAGAACAAAAAAACCTTAATTTTCCTACTTTATAAAATGGTATAATTCCTACTTTGCCAGACTCAAATGAGATAATGACCTTGAAGCGTCTTGCATACTTGAAAGCCTTAGGCATATATATGATCATTTAAAAAATTATTTATTTGGAGCTGGCAGGAGGCATGGTAGTTGGGGGCGCTGGATTCCCACATGGCCGACCATGGTTCAAGTCCCGGACCTGATGGCTTGCTTTCTCTCTCTCTCGCCGTCTCTCTCTGCTCAAATTAAACTAAATAAATAAGTAAACAAATAAAGTTAAAAATAATTCTTTAAAAAAATATTTATTTAGTTTTGTTTATTCCTATTATCTTTTAATTGATCAGAGGGAGAGAGAGAAAGGGAGAGTGAGAAAGCAAGCCTCTAGGTCCAGTACTTGAACCATGGTTGGCCATGTGGGAGTCCAGTGACTTAACCATCATGCCACCTGCCGTGCCCAGGAATATACATGCTCATTTATCATCATCCCCACCACCAGCTGCCATTAGCATCTTCATCATCACCATCAGCATTAAAGTCTTGGAAGAAAGGAAATTTACAAGGTCACAAAGGCCAGTGCCACTTCTGAGAGTAAGCAGAGGAGAATAAGATTAATCAGTAAGACTAATTTACTTGTAATAGGTCTAATTCCATTAACTGAAAACAAATTCTTTTGTGAAATTTTGGCTATAGGGTAAGTGTGCTTGCCAGAGAGACAGAGATAGAAAGGGAAGAATCACCCCCTGGGGAGATGGCCATTTTGCAATCCCTTCTCCTTCATTCTCCTCTCTGGATCTTGGGTACACATGCACATGCGCCCAGTGTGAGGTTTAAGCCATGGGGTCTGGGACCTGAACCGCAGTCCACTACGTGAGAGCCCAGTGACATAACCATTACACCATCTGCTGGTCCCAACTTAAAACAATTTTTATTTTTTAATTGCCTGAAGGTGCATGCGCTAGCTAGAGAGACAAAGAGGGGAGAGAGAAAGCACCCCCAGCCCCCAGTGGGAGGTGGTCACATTGCAATCTTTTCTCTGCCATTCCTCCATCCTGTTGGGACTCTGGGCACACACACATGTGCTTGGCACATTTTTTCAAGCCACCAGGGCAGGGATTCAAACCGCGGTCTGCCATGTAGGACCTGGCTCCCTCCACCAGTAGACTGTGGGGTCAGCCTTGGTTTCATTAAAATTGGCCCTACTAGTTACAGAAATGCAGGAAGACTAATGGTTGGCAATTTAGGACTCTTTAGGTCTGCTTTGCTGGAACTTTTAATAAGGAATCTCAGGGGGCTGGCAGGTGGCATGGTGGTTAAGGGCGCTGGACTTCCACATGGCTGATCACAGTTCAAGTCCCGGACCTGGTGGCTTGCTTTCTCACTCCCCCCCCCCTTCTCTGTCCCTCTCTGGACAAATTAAAATAAGTAAATAAATACATAAAGTTAAATAAAACCTTTTTTTAAAAGAATTATTTTATTGAACTCTATTTTATTTATTTATTTTAATTTGACCAGAGAGGAACAGAGAGAGAGAGAGAGAAAGAGGGAAAGTGAGAAAGCAAGCTGCCAGGTTCAAGACTCAAACCAGGGTTGGCCAAGTGGAGCCTAGTCTTTTAACCATCACACTACCTGCTGGCCTTCCTAAACACTTTTTCAAAAATAATTTTCTTCACACTATTAGAGGAGGATCTCTGTATAGATTCCTATAATTTTATGGCTTTAGGCTTGAAATACTTTTCTTTAAATTTCTTTTTCTTTTTTCTGAAATAGCTTTTAACATCTAGTCTGGAGGACCAGCAGATGATGTCATGGTTACTTCACTGGACTCTCACGTAGTCAACCGCGGTTCAAGTCTTAGATCTGGTGGGCTAAAACTTACGCCGAGCGCATGTGCATGTGTGCCCAAAATCCTGAAAGGAGAATGGAGAAGGGATTGCTGCGTGGCCATTCTCCATAGGGTGTGATTTCTCACTTTCTGTCACTCTGTCTCTTTGTCTCTTTGGTGAGCGCACATGCCCGATAGCGAAAATTCTCAAAAAAAAAAAAAAAAAAAAAAACAGTGTAGTCTAGGGACCAGCAGATGGTGTTCTGGTTATGTTGCTGGACTCCCACATAGTTGACTGAGGTTTGAGTTCTGGACCCAGTGGCATCAATCCACACCGGGCATGTGTGCATCTGTGCCCAAAATCCTGAGAGGAGGATGGAGGAGGGATTGGGGTGAGGCCA